TCAAATCAAGTCGGGATGAAAGCCAGGGCTACCAAGAAGCCAGAACTTGGCGCTCACCTGTCTCAGGATCCCTCCAGTGTCTTGCTCTTGAAGCAGCTGCCTCCCAGGTGACCCCTCTGTCTGTGTCAGAGCTCCTGTGGAGTTGGAAGTTGATGTCAAAGAGGATAAATATCTTGGAAATGGCTGAAGCTGACATATTATTTTATGACTTTTTGCAATTTCTCAAACAGGGGTTCCTATGAAAAGGTAAATGAAGACCACCCTAGAATCAGGGTCTCAGTGGTGGGGACAAGGAATGAGTGGAACTCAGGAATTGACAATTTTAAAATCTCTCCAGATGATTTTTATATACACCAGAATTATAACTATTGTCTGGAAAAATTTTTTCATGTATGTTACTTTATTTTACCTTTAGAGAACATGCCAAATCTAGGTTATTATGATTTTATACTCATTTTACAAATGAGGCAATTGAAATGTGGAAAAGTCACTTGCCTGAAGGAACACAGCTAAAAATTGGTTAGCTCTGACTATGGGCCTGTCCGTCTGTGCCCCTTCTCCACCCCACACATTTTCAGACTGGAGGGTGGGTCTGAGCCCAAAGATGTGGTGGATTTAACCATAAGAATCATCTAGCCTGGGCTTCCTCTACGGATCATGCTTTTGGTGTTGTACCTAAAATGTTGTCGCCAAACAGAGGAGCTCTCCTGTTTTCCTGTAGCTGTTTTATAATTACACACTTCACTTTTAGGTCTACGATCCATGTTGAGATACCTTTGTGAAAAGCAGAAGGCAGGGGACTGAATCAGCATTATTTTATGTTTTTGCACATGAACATTCAGTCTCTCTGACATCATTTGTTGAAAAGAGCATCCCTTCTTCACTGTGTTGCTTCTGTTCCTTTGTCAAAAGTTTTGCAATTCTTGATTCTTGTTATAAGAGAACCTGACCTCTGTTCTTTTTTTCTAAAGCAGCAAGATCAATTCAGCATTTCATAGTTATTTGTTCAAGATTTGAACCCCGCTTTCTTAGGACACAGGGCAAGCTGCAGATGAGACCACAGAATAAGAGATTGCGAGGAAGAGTCAGCCGGGTGAAGTCCATCCACACAAGGCTTTGTGATCCTGGCTTAGAAAATCAACCAGTTTCCAGAGCTGATTCTGCCCCTCACCTCTTATGCTCTGTTCCCTTTACTGGAAATGTGGGGAATGCCCCAAGACCCAATTGAGGTTCCTCACCATACATCTCCACCTCTGGGGCCCTAGAACAGAGGTGGGGGTAATGAAGACTCCAATCTGTAACTGTTTTCCCTCATGTGTGGAAGCTTGTCCTTCAGGCCTGACTCAGGAGGATCTGTTACAGGGACTGTGCCTCAATCTGTCCCACGCCAATTCACCAATCCACGAGAATAGAAGCTCAGACACATGCACAGAGACGCAATCACCCAGTGCCCTCCCCCTGCTGCCAGAGGGCTCTGTGCTGGTCTTTTACAGTGTCCCCTGGCCCAGCCCAACTTGGGCACAAAGTGTCTTTGTTCACTGATCTCAACTTGGGTCAGCAGGGCTGGTTTCTTTCCTGTGGATATGGGATCAGCTCTTCTTGTCCCTTCTCAGTCTCTCCTTCCAGCTCTCTTGCCCAAGGCTGACCACACTCCTTCATTGTCAAGAGCACACAGATTATCTATTTTCCATATTCGAGGCAGCCAAAGGCTTTTAAAGATAATGAAAATCTCTCAACTACAGTTTTGAGCTGAAAAGAATTTGCTAGATTTGCTGGTAAAAGGAGTTACAGGAATGTTCTTCTAGTACTTGTGGTTGGAAATCCTTGGGGGTTGGGGATTCACCAGAAGCATAGTGGTATGACAATGATTAGATTATTGCATGGGGAGGGGCCTTTATTTTGGGTGAGAAGAAGGTCCAATAACTTTTTCAAAAGAAGTAGCAACTGAGCCTTGAAGTAATAGCAACCCAGAAAGAGGCAGGGGAGCTGGGGTTAAGGCAAGGGGACCACCACTGCAGAGAGAGCCACCATGGAAGAGCAGGACATTTCAGATGTGGGGAGGTCAGCTCCTACCCACGGGTGTGTGAGGTTGACTTAGCTGGTTAGGCTGGCCAGGCAGGTGCCCTCTGTCCCCCACCCTCCTTGGTCTACATTCCATACATGCCCTTCCTGAAGCTGCTCCCTTCTTGACACTCAGGAAATCAATCTACTCTGTCAAGACATAAAGGCCAGCGTGCTTTTCTGTCCAGCACATATAGCATGAGATCCCAGGTACAGCTGAAGCATAAAATGTGTGTGTGGAGGCAGCCAGGAGTGGAGGAGGGAAAGAACTGAAGGAAATTATTCTTGAAAGACCTGCTCATGGGGGCCCTGTATGCTGGTTTAAGGAGATGGAGTCTACCCGTGGGCAGTGGGCAACTGTGGAGAAGTAATGTGGTTAGATTAACATGGAAGATAGAAAAGATGAGACAGGAAGCCAGAGATGACCTAGAGCCCAGATGTGAAACAGAGGGGACTGAGCTGGAGAAGCCGTGAGGAATGGGAGGCTGGGAGGTTCCAATGAGCTTCAGCCCAACTGAAGGTGTGGATCAAGACTCAGGGTGAGCACTTGTCCCTGGTCTCTGCCTTGACAACAGGTTCCACTAGCCAAGATGGGTAGCCCAGAAAGGGAGGGTTTAGGGGAAGAACATCAAAGCCTGTTTCAAATCTGTGGCTTTTCAGAGGTGCAGAGGACAAGAGGGCAGCCAAATGCATTAGTTTGAAGCTCAACTGTGACTCATTGCAGATGAAAGGGCAAGGAGTAGTGGAAAAGGCTGGAAAAGACCATCTTTAGGACATTCTTCACACAGCTTAACATCCCATTTACAAGGTACTGTGGGGCACAGAAAGAAAAATTCCACCTTTAAGAAGGCTGCTTGGGTTTAACCATGGCCATAAACTCAGGTTCAACACCTGAGAGTGAGAAGTGTCTTCCAGAATGATGCTGTTGTAAGGTGTAAGGCTTTTATCTCTTTTATGGATAGAGATATTCTTATTTGTATGTCCAGGTTTTCTCTAAGCTGGACATACAAATAAGAACTTCCCCCTTTCTTTCTCTTTCTCTATCTCTCTTTTTTTTCTTGAGATACCTGAGAAGTTAAGACTGTATTTTAGGAAATGTGAAGTGTAACAATTGATCAATTGATTTACCAGTGCTTTGCTTTTTATCCTGCCTTGAGCTATAACACAACACTGTTGGTTGTAATAGTTCCACCCCCCCCACAAATGGAAGGTGCATCTTAGTGGAAATCCCCACCTTAGAAAGTAAAACCTCAGGGGAATTGGGGAAAATTAACATAGTGTATTTATTTTATTAGGGTGAAAAGCCCTTTTTAAAGATAATTTCCTGCACATGGATTTTTTTTTTTTGTTTGCATACCCACAAGTAGAGTCTCTTAGTTGATGTTAAAACTTGAGAAGGAAATAGGAAATATTTAAGAAAATCTTTTAAATAGGTAAGCAAATGTTGAAAATATTTAAGAAATATTGGAAATATTTATGTAAATATTTAAGAAACATGAATTTGCACAAAGAACTGTAAGAACACAGTTCTTTCTCTTGGAACTTAAACTTTGGAGAAAAAAATAGAAATTTGAAAAATTAATTTTATTACATGTATTTCAAAAGTGCAGGTAGGTATTTTATGTCATAAACAATTGAGAAACAGTTATCCAAAGCCTATAATGGCCTCTCATTTACCCATGAATTTGAATATTTTACCAATATTTACATAATCTCTTAGAAAGTTCCTATTTATAGTATGAGTTTCTTCTCCAGAAAAAAAAAAAAAAAGATACCAGTGGATTCATGTAGAAAATATGTCTTGGTTCTCTTTATTTAAACATTTTAAGTTCAGTTCCTCTTTAGCCATCTTCCAGCCAGAAGAACACAGGCAACACACTTTGCTCCTCTTTCCCGGATCCTGAGGTGTGTCCCCTTTTATGGACTCAGAGGGACTTTTCAAATTAACTCGGGTTTTCACAGCACTCTTTTGGTGCCTCATAATGAGGGACTGACTTCAGCCCCACTGCTGGCTTGCTTTGCTTGGGTGGGTTAGAAAACCCTTGGCGATGTGGGTTACCTGGGTTTAAGTGCTTAGGGGAAACTGTAGAAAGAGCCAGAACACAGGAATCAGTGTAAAGGAGGCCCTCAAACACAAAACCTTTGTGAAACTTCACTGAAAATTCCGAGCATTTTCAATTAAGTCTAAAGACTACAGGTTGTCTCCCCTGAGGAAATGGGTTCCCTTTGGTCAAGTTGTTTGTGTCTGTCGGTTGGTTGGTTGGTTTAATCTTTTAAAGGATGGATTGAGTCAGGGCTCCAGGTAGAGAAAGTAAAATCACAGTTATAAAATCTAATGGGCTATGGTTCTAATCAATAAAGCTAATAACATTTTAGCAAAATGTCATGGTTTATAATTGCAAGAAACCATCGGGTCTGAAGAACGCGGACTGAGGGCAGCCCTAGAAGGATTCGCTCTGGAGCCAGCGATGACTCTGTGCTTAGGAAGAGCAGTGGAAGGGCTTTCTTCCTCAGCAGGCTGCAGGGTGTGGGTGGGGCCCTGCTGAGACCCCAGGGCTAACTGTATGTATGTAATTACATGTAATTACATGTATGTAATTCAAGTGTGGCAACTAGAAAGGCAAAGCCAGTTTTATTTGGCTGTGCACTACTATGAAACAGTTCCTTCTCTTCTCCCTTATGTACCTTTTTGGGTTTTGGCTTAGTTTCCCCTGGACAGCATTCTGCACTTTCTTGAGGCTACTGCTTCCTGCCCTCACAGACACTGAAGAGTAGGGCAGCTTTTTTTCCTTTCAAAGGAGCCCTTTCTGAGCCCCATTTTCATCGTATGGTAAGAAACACTGTAAATGATTGAGGTGATCCATCAAGAGTCCCATTCTTGATAATGAAAACTCACATAACTCAGTAAAAGTCAATTAAAAACCACAAACTTAAGAACCTTTTGCTCAGTGAAGATTTATTGTCATAGAAGGCATCTAATACAATAGGTATTGGGGAGTCAAAATTCTTAAAAGTTCTAAAAATGCAGTTAAAGCTTGACAATAAAGTTGAGTAGGATTTATACAATAGCAGAGTATATGAGTTCTTTGAAATGAAAAGGTATTTTTTTTCCAGCTTTACCATAAGATGTTTGAGATGTGAGGATTTTATTACAACCTTAGAAGCAATGTCCACTGTGTGGGGTATTTACTTTCTTTCCATGGTTTCAAATGACTCTTACTCTTTGGTTGTGCCTATACAATGAAAGTCTACAAAATCAGGAGTTTTTCCTTTGTGTGAACCTTCCCGCTGCAGACTTGCTGGCGCCACCGACAAAATTCAAGATGTGCGCGATCAACAACCCAAACAAACCGCCAGGTCAGACAACACCTGCAGCCCTCGGCAGGTGCGGCGCCCAGGAGGTAGCGTGGGCCTCTGGGAAGCCGGAGCGCTGACCTGCCCTCGCCCCTCTTTATGGGTGTCAGGCTGCGCGGGGGAGCCAGGGAGGCGTCCATGCCCCCGAGGGTGCCTTCCCTAGAGGTGCAGAGAGGACAGGGCGAGCCCGCCGGTCACCTGGAGAGGCCAGGGGACACCTGGGAGGAGAGCTGACTAGTGTCCCTTAAGAGGACAGCCTGGTTCTAAAGCGATGTGCAGGTCCTCTGGCTAACTGGGCGGCGGAGAGAAGTGTTCACTTCCTTGGGAGTTTACACTCGGAAAAGCTGAGGGCAAAGAACACCGCGGTGCCTGGGGAAGGGCGTCTCTGGTGATGTGCCACCCGAGACAGGAAATGTGCGCTCACCTGGATAGCGCGGCTCAGTGGCACAAAAAACTGGTACTTCAGAGTCTTCCATAAGGGCAAAACAAAAACAATTAAAAGCCAGGCCAAACAGAAAAGACATTCAAGATATCAAGAGCTCTGCAGTTGAGCTGAAAAATCATTTTCCAAAAGAAATATTCCCACAGATTGAAAAAACACACACACACATAATATTTACAAAAAATATTTAATTAAAAATACCTTATAATTACAGTAGTCTATTAAAGCACATACTTTCTCACACTTATAGAACATCTGTATATATACATGGTATGAAATGTCACTCAGTTATCTATACAATATGTAACATTCTTGCAGGGAAAAGAAAGTTCCCTGCCCAGTTATAATCATCTATTTTAAACAATAGATGTAAAAAAATCTACAATGCTCTGGGGTATATTAGTAAAGCTTCAAAAGAAAAATTGAGCTCCTTGGTCACAAAGTAGCCTTCTAAAGTCGGATTTACTCTGGATCATCTATTTATCAGTCCTGTCACACTTAAGACTTTAACTGCACCTCCAAAAACCACAGAAACGTACACTTCACAGCGGTTATAAAAGAAGAGACAAAAGAGAATATGTATGTAACATGTTTATGGACGTGCAAAAAAAAAAAAAAAAATGAAAGTTTTGTTTTCTTTCCTGTCCCTCTCTTGGAATGACGAGTGAAACGTTTCAACATTTGCTGATGTGTTTTCCTTTCCTCCGTTGGCTTTGCTCTAACTTCTGCTCTTCCCCCTCCCTCTCTAGAGCTCTTGGCTTGGGCTCAGGCGGCTGCATACCTGTGGAAGAGGAATGAATAGAGGGGTGTGTGAACCTTCGCGCTGCAGACTTGCTGGCGCCACCGACCAAACTCAAGACGTGCTCTACCAATAACCCAAACAAACCGCCAGGTCAGACAACACCCGCAGCCCTTGGCGGGCGCGGTGCCCAGGAGGTAGCGCGGGCCTCTGGGAAGCCCAGAGCGCTGACCTGCCCGCCCTCTTTACAGGTGTCAGGCTGAGCGGGGGAGCCAGGGAGGCGTCCACGCCCCCGAGGGTCCCTTCCCTAGAGGTGCTGTCACCCTGCTTGTTCACCCATCCGGCCTGGAACAGCAACCGAACACCAAGGGAAAGGTTAGAAGGCACAAACTCTCGTCACGGTCCTGGGCGTCCTCAGACACCGATCTGGTGCGCTGAGCCCCCACCCCAGTCTGCAGCCCCGGGAGACCCCTCCGCTGGACTTGACAGCACAGGGGTCGTGCAGCCCGGAGTCCTGCCCGGCGCGTTCTCCCCGATCTGTGCTTATCCGGCTAGCCGGCAGCAGGCGGCCCCAGGTGCCTGGAGAAGGAGCTGGGGGCTGTCATTCTCGGCCGGCCCCCACTCAGAAGAGAGGGAAGGGAACGCCCGCTTCCCACCACCCTGCCACCACCCTGCTGCACCCCCTGTGTCGTTGGCCCCAGCCGCCACCAGGCCTCTCACCGGGTGGGTATTGAGCGCAGTGAGCGGGGTCCGAAGCGGCGCTGCTGGACAAGATCCTGCCGGGTGGTGCGGTGGCGCGGGCGGTGGTGGCTGTCTCAGCAGAGCCGGTGGCTGTCTCAGCAGAGCCGGGTGCGTCTCCAGCGCCAGCTGCAGGTCCAGGATGTAGTCGATAACGTGCTGCAGGATCTCCACTTTGCTGACTTTCTTGTTGGGCGGGATGGTGGGCACCAGCCTCCGCAGGCTACAGGCTACAGGCACAGCTACTACAGGCACAGCTCCGGCTCGTCGGTCACCGCCTTGGCCACCTTGCAGAGCGCTGCCGCCGCCGCGGCGGTCGCGGCGGCCGAGCCGCCCAGGCTGTGGCCATGTTGGGCCAGAGAGCGCAGCGCCATCTCCCCGCTGCCGCAGCCTGACGGCGCCTTGCGGCCTGAAGGGCGCACCAGGCTCACCGCCTTCATCGCGCGCGCCCTGCGCCCTGCGCGAAAGGACTTGCTTGGGCGAGCGAGGGAGGTAGGCAAACTCCGCTTGGCCCCCGCCTGTGGCCGGCTCCTCTCCCCTTGCCTTCGCGCCTGGTGCGCTCGGGGCTCCTGGCGATCCCGAACCCAACAATTGATGGAAAGGTCGCTCAGGTTTTGCAAGGGGAATCTCTGCTCAGTGGAGGACACTCGCCCGAACCAAAAGACAAGAAAAGTCGGAAGTACCGGTCAAAAGTAGCCCACTCGGGCCCCCTTGTTACTCCCTTCGGATCTGCGACTAAGCAGGACCGCCGTCGCCGCCGCCACGCTCCCCTAGCCCCAGAGCGGGTCCCGGCACCGCCTCACTACCGCGCCTCCTCCACTGGGCTCTCCCGCAGCCTGCAGTGCAGCTGTATTTATAGAGCCGCTTGCCCCGGGGGCGGGGCCAGCGCGCCGGCCAGGTCGCTGCGAGAGCGGAGCGGAGCTGTGCCCCGCGCGCAGGCAGGTGCGGGGGGGGGGGGGGGGAGATGGCAAGGGTGAGGGCTTTGGGCGGTGCTGGGAGGCGGGGAGCCGGGCAACCCGAGCGACGGGAGGTGTGCGGAGTCGGGAGTGGCCAGCCAATCAAGAGGGCAGTGCCATCTCAGGGAATGACGCTCGGGCCAATGGGAAGGGCACTCCATTCCGTCAACGCTGTGGGTCGAGGCTCTGAGAAAAGAGAGCAGGGTGGGAGTCAGCCAGGTTGGTGTGTGCCCAGGGGAGGGGAAACGGAGAGAAGTTCCTGGGAAGAACTGCGGGAATGTGCGGCTGGAATTCACTCTCCTCCCGCCTAGGCTGCGGAGGGAGTGCTGGGCCCTGCTCGCGGATTCCCTGCCACTCCCAACAGTGCGGTCCAGGGTCCCTCCGCCACCCATCACTCCATCCCTGGGATTCCAGTGCCTTAAGAAAGATGCGCTGTTCGAGAAGGCACGTTCCTTATGTTCTGTATTTTCCTCTCCGTTTCATTATTCGCTTTTTCACAATTACTGAAACCATAATGATGGAATGGAATGTGGAGCCTTCCTCTTTCTCTTTCTTTCTTTCTTTCTTTCTTTCTTTCTTTCTTTCTTTCTTTCTTTCTTTCTTTCTTTCTTTCTCTCTCTCTCTCTCTCTCTCTCTCTCTCTCTCTCTCTCTCTCTTTCTTTCTTTCTTCGCTAAAGCTTAGCAAAAGAAGAATGCAGGTTTTTTGGTGAAGGAAAATATAAATAAAACCGTCAGGGGTTTTTCTTTTACTCATCTACACGCATAAGTGGGCTAAGTAAATGCAACTGCCTTCTACATAAATTAGAGCGCGTAAAGATTAAAAATGCATGGACAAGGAGTATTTCAAATTCTGCTATGACATATAATATTAATCCGTTTTATGTAAAATTCATACCTGTAACTTAATTTAGGTCATTAATGCACCACTTCACGCATTAGCGTATCCTGCTTTAAATAAGGTTGTGAGAATTGGCAACAAAGCATAAAATTCACACTTCTAGTCCTGAGATCCTGTTTGGGCCCCACCCTGCAAAAACGCCTGTTCATTAAGGACGTTTTGTGTTCGATTTCTAACGGAAAAGCTGTCCTTCAAGGGTTCAAAATTAAACTGCACAATGAACTCTGGTGGGATGTTGTGTGTACCCTTCAAGAAATAATTAAGCCCTTCAGATGAGAAATGAGCACTAGTGCTGATACAGACTTACTCCTGCTGCCTTTAGGTTGCTGATGCCAGGCTGGAAACACTGATAACCTCTTGGTTTGCTCAGTCTTACAAAAAAGGCTTACAGAAAAAAGGGTGTTGTAAATTCAGTGTAGCCTACTAGACATGGCCCTGCAAAATACCTATCCCAGGAGGTTTCAAAGGTAGTCTGGTTTAATAGGATGTAGCTATGTTTTAAAAAAGTCCTCCTCAGGATGCAAAAAACAAAAGGAAGGAAAAAATGGCATTTGTTTTACCTTGGAGATATGAAGAGTTTAGGTTCTGAAGTCTGTGCTCCAATTTTGGCTTCCTTGCTACCTACTTTTATATCATTAAACTAGCTTCCTAAATACCTGTACCTTTCTTATTTTCAATTACAATAAAAATTATATGTACTTCATAAGGTGCTTATTCAATACACACACACACACACACACACACACACACACACACTTAAGTGGCCTCTGTGCAAGAAAGTGTGTTAAGTGAATGTCACATAGTAAGTGGGCAATGTTAAAATTTTTGTTGCTTTTGGTAAATATTATCTCACAGTCTGTGGCTTGTCTTATATTCACTTCATCTCTTTCAAGAGCAGAAATTTTAAATTTTGGTGAAGTCGTTTGTCAGTGTGTCCTTTTATAGTTCAGGCATTTGGTATTATATCTAACAGATTTTTTTTTTTATAATTCAGGGTGACATAGATTTCTCCTATGTTCAGGTATCTGGTCCTTGTTTTCTGTATTATGTTTAGGTCTATGATTTATTCTGGAGATTTTTTTTTTGTATGTGGTGCAAGATATGGGTGGATATTGATACTTTTGCATATTTTAATTCAGTTGTTCCTGAAACTTTTGTTGAAAAACTTCTTTTGTGTTAAATTGCCTTTGCAGTTTTGTCAAAAGTCATTGTATATAGGTGTCCTTCTATCTGTCCTCTAAATTCTGCTCTATTCTTCTACTTACTAGTTTTTTATGCACAACCATATTGTGTTTATTACTATAGCTTCATAATAAGTCTTGAAAGCAGATAATGTTGGCCATTGAGCTTCCTGCTGAGTTCCTCTTTTTGACTATTCCAGGTATATTGCATTTTCATGTGAATTTATGAGTCAGTTTGTGAATTCCTTCCAAGAAGGACTTACATTCAAAACATATAAAGCATGGAGAGCTCACTAGGAGAGTGCCTGCATAGCATGCTTGAACCTCTGGGTTTGATTCCTAGCACAGAAAAAAAAAGTGTTCACAAAACATTTAAAGTATCTCTACCCATTATATATAAAGAACTCTCAAATTCAACAATAAGAAAGTGAACAACCCCAGTTTTAAAAGTGGGCAAAAGAGTTGAACAGACAACCTAGTAAAGAATAAGTAAAAATGGTAAATAAATAAGCTGCTTGATATCATTGGTCATAAGAAGCATACATTTCACAACTACAATGAAGCACCACCACATACCTGTGAAAACTGCTAAAATTAAAGACTGAACATGCTATGTATTGGTGATTCTGGAGAGCAGCTATCATGCACTGTCAGTGGATAGGAATATAAAATTATGAAGACTACCTTGGAAAATAATTTGTCAGTTTCTTAAAAAGTTAAACATTGCTAGAGGTGGTGTGTGTAAGCTCACCTACTAGGGAGGTCAAGGGAGGAGGATCACAAGTTTGAGGCCAGCCTCAGCAATTTAGCAAGACCCTGTCTCAAAACAAATAGGGTTAGGGATGCAGCTCAGTGGTAAAGCACCCTTGGGCTCAGTTCAATCCTCGGTAAAACACACACACACACACACACACACAAACGGTAAACATACTTATCATATGGCCCATCCATTCCACTGCTAGGCAACTGTTCTAGTCCAATAGAAATCAAACAATCTATCTGAGGGCCATGAGGGGGCACAAAGAGGCATAGGGATGGTGGGTGTGTTCATTATTTTATTTGCTCTGCATCGTGTCACTCTGAGCCAGCTATCACAGCATTACCCAAATGGTGGCAAGCTGCCTCCAACGAAGGTATGAGGCATGGACTGCTGTAGTGGACCAGCCGCTGTGGCTGTCCGTGACCACGTTATTTCACTGGCTATAAATGAACTATGCTGAAAAACCACACCCTTGTTTCATGTTGTTCTGGTGCGACATGGATTCAAGACTCTGAGAAGGACCAACCTAATTATTGGAAATGTTCTCACTGTGCAAAGAGTGTTCTGCACTCCTTCCTCTGTGCTTCCTCCAGCTGTAGCCTCTGCTGCCTCAGTCACCCTAAGTCGCAGCTGCTTTGGCGAGAACCCCCAGTGGGTGGAGAGGGAAGAAACCTCATCGTGCCATATTCAGGGTGATCTAGTTTTTCTCCTCTGACTCTTTCCTTAGGAAGAAAGGTGAGCATTCTAACAGGACTAAAAATACTTTCTATTGCTCTGTCTAGAGTAGGAAACAAAAATTCCTAATGGGTACCATATTTTCCCCCCAAAGCTCTATTACTTGATCTGTTACTCAGATCTCTTTGTGACAAGAGGGAGGAATCCTAGGGATAGACTGAGGATTAACTGGTTTTGAAAGTCCCAAATAAGCAGTGGAGAGGAATAATTTGTGCATGCTGGTCCTTCTTAGTGTCCTCTGATGTCTATGCTGGTATTGAAGGGGGGTATTATGAGTTAAAATTGTTGTGATGATGCCAAGGAGTTCAAAGGCTTGCTGTAGTTCCCTGGTATCCTTAAGTAGAGAAATTCAAGGCAAGGATATTATTACTACTACTTAAAAATTCAACCCAGAGGATGTAGATGTGCTGATGTTGCTGCAATTTTGTTTCATCCAGTTATCATCATGAGGAGAGTCATCACCAAGCACTATTCCCTTCACAGAGCAAACTGTTGCTAGATTCACACTAACGAAGGGGTTTTAATTCTATTTCTCTTTCCTATAAGAGAATATGAAATAATTCCAAGATACTGAAAAAATAGTACTTAATGTGTTTTGACTATGTAGAGGAAAACACTTAAACAAGGAACAAACTGCAGATCACATTTTGAAACCGAATACTGATCATGCCGTGAGTCCATCTTGGTAAATCTGCCTTTGTGGAAGAAAAAGCTCTCCCATTTGGTTGATATCTAGGTCATGGTTCCTAAGAACTGATACAATGTTCAAGACACTTGCAACTTTTTTTCCCTGAAGAGGAATTTTTCAGACATTTTTGTAGACCCCCACGCAATTGTCATGGGCTGTGGGAGAGGAGGTGGTTCCAGGGAGCTTGGTCCCCGCAGCAGCAAAGGCCTGTGTGGAAAGCAGGAGAATGGTATGAAAACTCACTTGTTTGTGAAATAATCAAAGTAGCGCAGTTTCTCTACTAGTAAATGTACAGTAAATCTTAAAGGAATTAAAGATGCAGAATTAAAGGAAAATGAGCAGTTTAACTGCACTTTATGAATACTGGTAATTCTATGTTAGGACAGTCCAGTTTAAATGAAACCATCTTTA